TTTTTCCTTCACTTAAACCTCATCTATTGTCTCCAATATCTGTGTTCTCAATCTTATTTGGCTTAAAATAACTTTTTTATCAATACTTGCCAAAAAATGAACTAACATTTGTAAAGTTAAAAAATTAGAGTACCTTCACATTACACGATCTACTTTTTAAGGCAGGCACCCAGAGTTGCTAGTAGACATATTCCATGACAGGGGCATCAGATAACAGAACTGAAGAAATTTACAGAGATGATATCTGAATACCTTTTTGTCTTTTTTATTTCTCCAATAATAATTAGTCCTATTTTCTTTTTAGCACTTAAACCATGTGAGTTATTTCTAGCTCTAATGTCTTTTTGTTGTTTCTAGCGGTAACTCATTGTAATTTTTTCCTCAATTGATCTATGAAGCGGTAACTCATTGTAATTTTTTCCTCAATTGATCTATGAGTTCCTCAGGATAATGGCTCTCTCAATTTGCTTTATATTTATCACATCAGACCTAATGTATTGAATATAATAGATGCTGAGGAGTGTTTTTGATAATGGGGTGAAAGAATATGCTCTAAGAGAGTAACATGACCATTTAGAAGGATAAGAACCCCTTAATTGCTAAATGAATTCAGAACACACCATCATTATCATCATCAAATAGCAAGCTCAATGCTTACAGAGGAATTTATTTTGAAAAATTCACTTTGAGAAGATTTTGTAAGAAATCTTGTATTGTTCATTGAAAGGTACAGATTGATGAACAACTAAAAACCATATATCATTTTAAAGAAAGTTGTTTTAAAAAATAAATTTATCTTAATCACAGAAATCAGATTATTTAACAGACTATTTGAGACACAAAAACAGATTATTCTTAATAATGTCACTGAATTGTAGCTGTCATGTAAATAAAAATCTAGCTTGCAATCTTGTATGTTTTAACTTAATTTTCAATAACTACTATTCAATTTTGAAAATATAATATGCAAAACTATATTTTAATGGTCAAAAAATAATAAATATACAAAAAGTGATTATACTTTTATTGTTGAATATTCATTTTCACATTTGAATTATGAAGAATGCTGTGATGAACAACTTGAAATATATGATTATTTCTACCTGTGGATTATTGACTAAGGCCAATAATACCAAAAGTGATATTATGATGTAGAAACTTCCAAATATTTTAAGGATTTCAATATATATTGTTCCAAAATATATCTAATAATTTATTATGGCATCAGAAATACACAATTATAAATACTTTGCCACATTCCAATGATGTAATGCATGCTAATGGTACTGGAGAAGGACAGAAATATGAGATTATCATTTTAAATTCCTTTTTTCTTTTCTTATAAAATTCCTTTCACACATTTTCTGTTTGCTGAATTATCTTTAACTTTCAAAGCTGACTTTGTTGATTGCCTGGGAGTCCTTTTTTCCTAGATATCTCTTGTATTGTAAAAAGCTGTTATCTACAACCTTAACTGAGAGATTGCCTTAAAAAGAATGAAAAAAGCTCCAGCAGAGTTGCTTGGATTGTGCCTTACCCCAAATCAGCCTTTTTCAATAGCACAGGAGTGTAAAAGCTCTACTGCCTTGCTACATTTGGATAATTCTGATATGAAATTTGCATTTCAGGTCTCCCTTTTAAATCAGATGAGGCTTCACAGCTCCTGAAATAATATCTTCATATAAGTTTTTTTTATTCCCATATGTTTCCTCTTTACTGCCTTAGAGACTGTGCCTTGAAAATTGTACTTATTTGAGATAAATGCATAATTTGATATAAATATGTATTGTGTACTGAATCCCACAATCCAATTAATTAACACATACATCATCACACATTGCTATTACGTGTGTGTGTGTGTGTGTGTGTGTGTGTGTGTGTGTGATTAGGACTCTTAATATGCTCTTAACAAATGTGAACTACATAATAAAGCATTAATTATAGTAACCCTGTTATACATTAACTCCTCAGAAGTAAAACTTATCTATCTATCTATATATATATGTGTGTGTGTGTGTGTGTGTGTGTGTGTGTGTGTGTGTGTGTGTGTGAATTGACCAATGTCTCCCCATTTTCCCAAACTCCAGCTCCTGGCAACAAATCTTCTACTCTCTGGTTCAATGATTTGACTTGTTTAGATTTTCCGAATGAGTAAAAATAAATAAATAAATATGAATAAGTGAATAAGAATAAAATGTCTTTCTGCATCTTGATTATTGGATTAAGAACTTAAATATAAGATCTAATGCCATAAAACTCCTAGAAGTAAACAAAAAAGAAAAATTACTCATCTTTGTTTTTAACAATGACTATTTTGAGGGGAAAGACTACAAGAGAACAAATAGCTGAATAAAAAAGCAAACAAATAGGATTATATCAAACTGTAATACTTCTTTACAGCAAATTAGTCAACAAAATGAAAAAGAGGAAGAGACATCACTGCATAGTCAAGGAAGCAGTGCTCACAATATATGCAGAAGATGATGCTCACAATGATTCTCAGATACTCAGAAGCAGGGGGAAAAAAAGAAGTTAAAGAAAGGAAGGTAAAATTTAGGAAAACCCCTCCAGGTGTACTCTAGTATCTGGGCTATTCAGAGAAAGATGCAACTTTACCCCTAGATCCTGGCATGCTTACAGTCCAAGGCTGGCAAACATGCAAACTTGGGAAAGATCTGATTCTGAGGAACAAAGCCTTACAACAACAGGTGCAGGGCTGCTTCAAGCAGTGCCAGGCTGTCAGCCACCAGCCAGTGCCACATGTTCTAGTTCTTTGCCCACTTGGACAAGGAAACTAGTGAGCAACAAATTCTTGGTAGAAGGCCTCTTTTATTAGGGTACAAAGGAAGGTTCAGGCAAGAGAATCATTCATAGAGCTGTAATAATTTAAGAAAACAAGAGCCTTAGGGCAAGAAAGGAACAATTGCAAGGTCCTGCATAGGGGACCTCAAAACAAGCCTTGAGAGATATGTGTGACAGAGGTTAACAAAGACATGCAGTGTTTATGACTGATGTGATGCACAGGCAGTAAAAAGCCAATAGAGTAGTGCCAGATTTGTCATTGTCCCACCACTTCCTAAACACTCCCTAGTTCTATGCCCCTGTTGTATCATGCACATTGCTTTGGCCTCCAAATGCCACACAACTCAGTGCCTGTGTAAAATACAACAACAGAAGAACAAAATTCTACAAACAGAGAAAGAAAAAAAGTCACATACAAAGGAAAGCCCATCAGAATCACAGCAGATGTCTCCACACAAGCTCTCAAGGCAAGAAGTGCTTGGAGTGAAATATTTCGAGTCCTAAAAGAAAACAGCCTCCAACTCAGATTGATGTACCCTACAAAACAATCTTTCAAAATTGATGGAGAAATCATACTTTCATGACAAAGAGCACCCAAAGAACTTTATGAATACTAAACCAGATCTACAGAAAATTTTAAATAGAATCCTAGGAAAAGACAATGAGGATTACAACCCTAGGAAGCCCACTATATGAATGCATCAGGCATGACAAGAAATTAACCACAACAGGGGAGAATCCGACAAATGAAAAAGTCATGAAAAAGATAAGCCAATACACATGAGATATAACTATCAGTGTTAATGGTCTCAATTCTCCAATCAAAGGAAACAGATTGGTGGAATGGATCAAGAAGCAAGATCCAACTATATTCTGTATAGAAAATTATACCTAGTTAAAAAATAAATTTATACACTGAAAGTAAAAGGGTGGAAAACAATATTCCATATGACAGAAAGCCACAGGAATAGCTATCTTATGTGTAGATCAAATTGGATTTCAAATCAATACTGTTTAAGAGGTGTCACGCGCCATTATTTCCGGGTTCTTCATGCCCTGCATGAATCCGGAGGTGTATCCGCCGGTGACGGTGGTTCACGCCTGCGCAGAAGAGGCGCTTGGCTCATCAGAATGACGCAGGCCGGCATTGACCAATAGAAATATGCCACGTCACCCGAGAGGCTATAAAAGGCAGGCTCGCATCCGGCTCGGGGTCTTTCCGCCATTTTGAAGAATGTAGAAGAAACTCCAATAAAGCGTGCATCAGAAGAATCCTGAGTGTTGCGTGCTCCTTGCTGGCGAGGTGCGCGCGACAAGTGGTGCCGAAACCCGGGAAGCGATGACCATCATCGCTGGCATCAGCGGAGACCCCTGACTTCAGGAGGATTCAGAACTGAGCCGCAGGAGGGGAGGATCCACCAACTTTCCGAGAGGTACGCTGTCTGGTGTGGGCGGGTGTTTCAATTTGTTTACTCCAACAGGTTTAACTTTGTCGGTCGCCCACTTTCGTAGATAAGGGAGAAATGGGCAATTCAACTTCACAATCACTGGTCTATGCTTTACAAAGCCTTTTGAAGGAAAGGGAGTTAAAAATATCAGAGCAGGTTTTAAGGAGGTTTTTAAAGGAAGTGGATCGAGCGGCGCCCTGGTTCAGCGGTACCGGGTCACTCACGATCCCATCCTGGGAAAAATTAGGAAAAGACCTCCAGCGAGAGAAAGATAAGAATACCTTAAGATCGGGGGTTTTACCAGTGTGGAAGATGATTAGAGCCTGTTTGGAGGATAAGCGCTGCAATGACAAGGTGCGAGAGGGACAAAAATTGTTCAGGGAGCATCAAGACAGTGTATCAGAAACGGAGAGGGAAGAAAGAAGTAAGTCTAGACAAAAACGGAGAATAATGGGAGCTCAAGAAGAAGGGAGCCAAATTTCCGGCCCTATTGAGGCCTCAACGGGCCTCTACCCTGCCCTAGATGAACTAAAAAGATTAACATTAGCAGAAAAGGAAAGTAATTCGGAGGGCTCCTCGGAGGACTCCGAGACCGCGTCGGAGTTCTCAGGGGAGCCGCCCGAAAAAGAGGAAGTAGTAAGGAGGAGAGTGAAAAGAAAAGGGAAAATTGAAAGGCTGGGGCCTTATGCGCTGGTTGCCGTCCAGCCCTCTGCGCCCCCGCTGGTTGGCCCCCCCAATGGGGAGATAAGAATGAAGCCGAGGGGACAAGGGATTTCCTTTTGTAAACCAAAGGAGATAGAGAAGATTATGCAGGCGTTTCCTGTTTTTGAGGACGCAAATCAACAAAGATATTATGAACCACTGAAGCATCAGCAATTAAAAGACTTAGCTGAGTCCGTGAGGACTTATGGGATAAATGCTTCCTTTACCCAGGCCCAAGTCGACAGATTAGCTTACATGGCCATGACACCCACGGATTGGTATAGTACCATAAGGGCTTGCCTTTCTATGGGACAATATCTAGATTGGAAATCTATTTTTCAAGATGCCTGCACAGCGCAGGCGAGGAATAATGCATTGCAGGGACAGCCCCATTGGGATTATGATATGTTGACAGGGCAGGGGCAATGGAGCGTTAATCAGACAGCGTTCCCAGTTCAAGTGTATGAGCAAATAAACAAGCTTGCAGTTAAGGCTTGGAAGAGCCTCCCGAATAAGGGGGAAGTCTCAGGGAACTTAACTAAGGTGATTCAGGGACCCACGGAACCATTCTCAGACTTTGTAGCCCGAATGATGGAAGCGGCAGGCAGGATTTTCGGGGATGCAGAAGCAGCCATGCCCCTGGTGGAACAGTTGATTTTTGAACAGTGTACTAAGGAGTGCAGGAATGCAATCACCCCTTGGAAAGGGAAGGGATTAAATGCATGGATGAAAGCGTGTAGGGAAATAGGTGGCCCACTAACCAACTCAGGCATAGCAGCAGCAGTGCTCGCGGCGCAGAGATCGCGCGACGTCACCTGCTTCAATTGCGGCCGCAAGGGTCATATCAGAAGGCAATGTAAGCAATCCAATAGAATGAATTCCCCGAGGAAGGTACCTGACATTTGCCCAAAGTGTGGCAAAGGGAGACATTGGGCTAATGAATGCAGATCTGTAAAAGATATTAAAGGAAAGATCATATCAAGGAATGCGGGTGAGCCGCCAAAAAACGGGCAGAAGGGCCCTTGTCCCCAGGGCCCGCAAATGTATGGGGCGTTCCAGAGCAGGGGAATATCCCTGAGACCGCCGACAAGCCAAGGAGAGCCACTCCAGGTTCGGCGGGACTGGACCTCTGTGCCACCTCCAGGGCAATATTAACTCCCTTAATGGGATGTCAGCCTATTCCATCTGATGCTAATGGCCCTCTTCCAGAAGGAACCATGGGATTAATTTTGGGTAGATCGTCCACAACCTTACAGGGCCTTATTGTCCATCCTGGAGTTATTGATAGTGATTATGAGGGAATAATTCAAATATTGTGCTCCTCGCCTAGGGGAATCTCCTCGATATCCCCCGGAGACTGTATTGCACAATTAATACTTTTGCCCAGTCTGCATCAATTTTTTCCCAGTGGGACTTCTCCGCGGGGAAAACGAGGATTAGGCTCCACCGGAGGCAATTGCACTTTTCTCTCCTTAGCCATGGACGATCGACCAACCCTAATGTTGCTCGTCCAAGGAAAGTCCTTTACAGGGATCTTAGATACAGGAGCGGACACCAGCATCATTTCTTCAAGGTGGTGGCCCCAGGCTTGGCCCATTAGGAAGGCAGAACAGTCCTTGCGGGGCTTAGGCTATGAAGCCTCCCCATCTGTCAGTGCGCAGCCCTTAAGGTGGAAAGATGAAGAAGGTAGAACTGGTGTCTTTACCCCTTATGTGTTGCCCCTACCAGTCAATCTATGGGGACGAGATCTCTTACAGCAGATGCAGTTTAAATTGGTAAATGATTATTCTCCTCAGAGTCAAGCGATGATGAAATCTATGGGCAGTGTTCCGGGGAAAGGCCTCGGAAAAGGATTGCAAGGCAGATCAGAGCCGTTGCAATTAATCCCCAACAAAGACAGGCAAGGTCTGGGTTTTTCATAAGGGCCACTGAGGAAACGTCGCCCATATCTTGGACAACAGAGGATCCAATATGGGTTCCTCAGTGGCCTCTTACCTCTGAAAAATTAGTAGTAGCCACAGAATTAGTGGAGGAACAACTAAGACTAGGACATCTGGAAGTCTCGACCTCTCCTTGGAATACTCCTATATTTGTCATAAAAAAGAAGTCAGGAAAATGGAGACTCCTGCATGATCTTAGAGCTGTTAATAATCAGATGCAGCTCATGGGAGCATTACAGAGGGGATTGCCTTTGCTCTCTGCATTGCCAGGCCTGTGCCAATTTCAGACCCGCGCCTAGCGTCGGGGTGAATCCTCGGGGGCTGCAGCCCCTACATGTTTGGCAAATGGATGTCACCCACGTTCCAGAGTTCGGTAAGTCTAAATATCTACATGTTTCTGTTGATACTTGTTCAGGCATTCTCCATGCCACACCATTAACCGGAGAAAGAGTCCTGCATGTCATTACACATTGCCTTGAGGCCTGGGAGTGGATAAAATTTGTTTTGCCTTTACTTTACCATCCATCAATCATCAGGAGCCAGACCGTAGGTATCAATGGCGAGTCCTACCTCAAGGAATGGCTAATAGTCCTACCTTATGTCAGTCTTTTGTAGCAGAGGCATTAAGACCAGTTAGAATGAAGTATCCAAGAATGTTATTGTATCATTATATGGATGATATCCTGCTGTGTGATAAGAATGAGGATCAACTGCATGAAGGCTTTGCTTATTTGTCAGATCAGCTAAAGTCCAGAAAGCTTTTTCTTGCCCCAGATAAGGTTCAAGAGGGAACTTTATGTTCATTTTTAGGAACAAAGATTTTTCCTCAAAAAATCATACCACAAAAGGTGACTATTGCAAGAAAGACATTGCACACATTAAATGATTTTCAAAAGTTGTTAGGGGATATTAATTGGCTTCGCCCTTATTTGAAATTTTCCACCTATGATCTGAAGCCCTTGTTTCAGGTTCTCGAAGGAGAAGCCTCCATATCTTCTCCCCGTAAGTTGACTAAAGAAGCCTCATTAGTATTAGAAAAGGTCGAAGAGGCCATCACACAGGCGCAGCTTTTGCGTCTTGAGGAACACCTGCCATTTCAGTTATGCATCTTGCCAACCATGGGATTACCCACAGCGGTGTTATGGCAAAAGGGGCCTCTGCTATGGGTGCATTTGCAGATCTCCTCGGGAAAGATGTTAGAATATTACCCCGCTAAAATAGCACAAATTGCTATGAAAGGGCTACAATTAGCAATCACACATTTTGGAAAATTCCCAGAAGCAATTTTATGTCCTTATACCAAAGATCAATTACGAGTGCTCTGTGCTACGGTAGATGCTTGGGCCATATTGTTCTGTGCCTATCCTGGATGCTTTGATAACCATTATCCAAAACACCCACTATTGCAGTTTGCTTCTAATAGTAATTTGGTGTTTCCAAAAATCACAGCCTCTCAACCATTGGTGGGTGCATTGGAAGTGTATGTTGATGGCTCCGGTAAC